CCCCATCACCCCAGAACCCCAAAACCCCAAAACCCCAAAACCCCATGAATAATTAATTGCATCCAATTAAGTGACTTAAAATATATAATAAATCAATTAAATGAGTCAAAAATTCATATTTTCTCTTAAAATCTCATCTTTAAAGTAATTTTTCAGCATTAATCGGCTTTATGGGTCTATCAATAATTGCTTTATTGCATTACTATTACCCAATTATTCACTAGACTTACTGTTACTGTGCATATTAATCACATCTTTCTACCCATTAAACCCCTCAATAAGTATCTAATCAAATGTACTTAGATTAAAGATATTTCCAATAGCTTGCTATAGTTGAAGATTGCCTTTGCTACTATTTGGCTAAAGCATCGCCTATTTTTTGTATTTTAGTTATTGCTCTATCAGTAAATTGAAGCACTCATTCACGAACTGGACCTTTTTAGTTGGCTTATTAAGGTCTGAGTTCTCCTTGTGAGATTCGTAAACCTATGTGAAATGCTTTTATAATGAAATCTTCTAGAGTATCTTAAGTAATTACTAATATGATAATGACTTTGATCTTTGCTGTTTGGTTTCTTAAGAGAACATAGATAGATTAACAGAGGACTTAAGTTAATTATCAGCTAAGAAATTTGAATAATGAGTAGCTGACATTTTGAGTTCGTTTACAACAGTTTATGAATACTTCTTGAATAATCCAAGCATGAAATTAGAAATCTGCTAATCTTGGATAATAACTTAATCTTTACTACTTTCAATAAGTCTCAAGATCTCTGTTTTTAAATTTTCAAATTAAGGATTCCTTACAATAGAAGAAGGTGATTTACTTTAATTCACATCCTTATGACTTCTGGGACTAAATGTGTTCGCCAGTTAGTTAGTTAATCCTGTGTTCGATAAATTTCGCTTTTTACTTTGAGGTCTTTAAGCAAAAGCTGCTAGATTTCTGTTGGCTTGAGCTTTCTTATGATCAAATGACTAGTGTAGAGAGAGTAAGTTGTTGTTTGAATTGGAAATTTAAAGCTCTATTTTATCTCTGGATGTTGATCTAATTAGTTGTCTTGTAGTTCTTCTTCTCAGATTCTGTGTATCTTTCTTATGGGCAATCATCAGCGGTCTTTGTAACTAGACTTACTCTATAGGTTACTGATCATCAATAGTGACAGTTCTACAAATATTCTTATTCAGATTACCGTGATTGAGAGAGGGATTTCTAGAATTTAGGTAGATTTACTTGCCACTTTAATTCCTTGTGCTTGAAGGAAAAAACGCTCTATCAGTAGTCATTGCACTTGTAGTTGTAATTGGATGATTGCTATGTATCTACACGTACTGACTCATGTTATTGTTAACCTTCAGAGGAGATGCTACTGATTGATTGCTAGGAGACTTCAGCCTGTCATTCTGGTTACTTTGAATTATTCTGAGAGCTCCCTAAGGATCAAGAGTTTATCGAGATTCATTAGATGAATGATAATGAGAGTAGCCAGATTTGTTTTCTTAAGTATTGTTGTGTGAATTTTCACTCACTATCTCATTATTCTTATTCCTAGAAGATAGGTTATTTTTCATCTTAGCTATTAAAGTCTATGGCTCAATCTTTATCTAATCTAGCTAGCTCTGAGGGCATATTAATGTTTTCTAGTTCTTGTCGCTTTTATTTGAAAATGATTAAGGTTGTCCTGAACTGCTCTTTTTATCAATACTATCATTTTTATTAGCATCTACTTTAGTAGTAACAAAGCTCTTGGTAATATTTTAGTAGTCTATATTTTCCTTTGAATTTTGATGCACTGCTGAGGACTTTATCTCATTAGGTTAATTTAGTTTAGTTCCATTTGGATTGTGCTTTACTAGCAGTCCTTGTTTCTGTATAATATTAATTTAAATGTAACTTACAAATCCCAAAAGAGCCTAGAAAGATCCTAGTTACTTAGCACTTGCCATATTTAGCTTCTGTTAAAATGAAATATCCTATGTAGGGTTCTTTCCCATCTCATCCAACCCAGTCTTGATTGTCAGTTCATTTTTGAAAATATCCATCTTATATAGTCTATCATCATCTTTAGATTATAACTTATCATCCTGTGTCTAATCCTTTAGTTTAGAGGATATTGTAGATCCAGTATTATTCTTTACTATATTGCCATCTTTCTATCAGAGATTATCAATAGATTATTTTCTTACTTTAAGAACTTAAATTTAAGGCTAAAGCATAGGTGGAGTTGGAGCAAATAGATTTCTCATATTTTAAGACATATTTACCTAAGAGGTTTCTTGTTAATCAATGTTATCATATAAATCTTCCTGCTCTGTATTAAGTGGATTCATGTATCTATCTTTGGAGAATCTCTTGTCATCAGGAAGAAATTTGTCGACTTCATCTACTTTATCATAATAATTGTGAATATTTTGTTCCTAATCTCCTCCCATTATATTAGGATTCGTAATTCTTGCCATTTTCTTGGCTGAATCAATAGCTGTCTCATAAGGATGATCTTAATGCTAATACATTAGTTGGTCGACCACATCCTCTAGCTAATGAATCGATTGCGAGCATATAGATGAGTCGAAGAGATTGTCCTTAAGGTTTTCAAATGCTTATAATCTCTAAAGTTAGTTGTAAGTATTTCCTTCTTTCATATGAGAAAATACCAAAGATTCCTCGTCTGCATTATAGTTTTTCCCATTTACACTAAAGTTGTTAGCATCCAAATTACAGTTAAATCCTCTCATTACACTCAATTGCTTCCTATTTGTGCTTCCTAGATACTAGTTTTCTTTTTAGATAGACATTACGATTGGTGATGAGAGATTTGAATTTAGATTGTTTATGTATTGATTTTGAGATTCAAAATGCTTCTGAGGTTACTTTATTTGCTCTTTGCTAGCTTATGGATGATTTACTTAATTTTGCTTGCTATTTCCATTATGAAGACCTAAATTTTCAACATTCTATTATTGAGTGGACTTTTGCTTTGCAGTAAAATGTGAATTTGCCTTTTGAGGGTGTTTACTATTTATGTCCGAATTTTTCATTTTTCTTAATCTATTTACTTATTTATTTAAATTTAAATCCCAAACAACTAGATGATAAATTTTATATCTGCTTTAAATGAATTAATAGACTTTCTTCTATAGATAAAGAAACGAACTAATGGGGTTTTGGGGTTTTGGGGTTTTGGGG